AGTTGCGAGTTGGAAATTCCTGAGAAGTTTGGTGAGCATGGCAAAGCAGGTCACTTGAAGGCAACATGTTCTGGACCAGTAACCCCATTCATTCATGCAGGATTCCTTTTCCTTCAGGCACTGTCTAGTGTTACTGGCCTTGGTATTGATTGCCAGGGCACTTGACATTTGGTTGCTGTTGTTTGATGAAAGCAGCTAATTGGAATGCTTCCTCTGAGGAAACCCATTTACATATATGGAGTCCTTTGTACCTGTGTGTATGTAGGCAATGCATTCTGAAACCTGCATAACTCACAATATGCTGTTTACATGGACCATAAGTGTAAGTAACTGTTCTTGATTTGCTAAACATTTACTCATAACTTGCAATTCAATTCCATTACCTGAAACAAAATACTTGAGACAACTGTAAACTAAATGTCAGTCCTCTTTCTTGTCAGAGAAGACGCCTTTTCCATTCAGCAGAATTAATCAACTTACCTTACTTAAAAAATACTTTTTTCTGGAAAACGCCCAGAGGGTTGATTTTTTAAAGTAGTGTTACAAAACTTCAACAGCAAATAATACGAAGTGATTCAAATGGAAAGGACTGAAAAGTGGACTATAAATCCTGATATAAGACTTCATATGTTTTACATACAAAGATTTTTAACCCTGATATTCATACATGTTATACTATTGCTGTGAACAAGCAGAACAGACCTGCAGTAAAGCACAGAAACTGTATTTCTATACTCTGTATGAAGTTGAAAGCAAATCATATGCTACAGCATGGTTTCTTCAAACATATTTTTCCAAAGCCAACAACTTCATGGTAATATAATTTAGATGATGAGCATGCTTGTATAAGTGCCATGTGGGCCACAAACTATGTACTACACCTAAACGAACTGCTGTCCCAATTTATCCCATCTTCCTTTGCACTCCCTATTTTCATTTTTTTTCCAGAGCAATAATTGCAATAGCACTGAAATAAGGCAGAACTTACTCCAAAATTCTCCACAGCTCCTTTCAGAATATACATAGGGCTATGTACTTAAAGTATCTCCTGACAAGCAGGAGATCTTATGGGGATTATGTTGCTACCCCCACTCTCCACCTGCCCTTTCTCTTCCCTTTATGTTTTGCTGCTTGTGAGACAGATAGGTATTATCAGTTTATTATTACTGCTTTTCCACAGACTTTCTCAAATGTCAAGTGAATCTGATCTGGAGTTCTGGCCCATACTTACACTGGACCAACTCCAGACACTCGTAAATAAATCGGTAGTGGCTGCTATGACTGCCAGAGCTCTGTCATTCTGCTCTTCTGAGGGTGGACAGGGGTTTTGGCTCTTTTCTAAAATTCTACACTTGCCCCAGAGTTTTTCACACCTTATTTAAAAGACCCTAGGCTTTCTCACTCTATTTTGGCATAGTCTTAGACAGGAAGACAAAGCTACTAGCCTGCCACATTGTTGAATACGTTCATTTAGAAAAGCAGCTGAAATGCAGATTGTTACTTTTTTTTTCCACTGATTTCTCCATATGTGTGAACCTTGCAGAAACAGACATATTTCTGTCTCTCTGCTCTGGACTCTTTGTTGACATTAATAGTTTACACTGGGCTCTACAGTGAGGCACATCTTTGTCACAGTGTGTCAACCGTGCCGAGATACAGAGGTCGGTTCCAAAGCTTGGCAAGAAAGTCCCATTAGTGCAGAGATGTCTGGATTCAAGATCATGGGTTTAAAAGGAGCAGGCAGAGCATTCATTCATAAACCTGGCATACTGAATTCTGAGAAGTTTGCTAGTGATTTTAAATGTTTCTTTCAAGACTATTTCTTATCATATCAATGCATATACAGCACAGCATCTGGTTACAGAACAAAATCTCCAACCAGTGCAGGCTTGAACTGAAAATATTACAGATGTTTATCTTCTGATATCTTCAGCGCCTTTTTCCTGAAAAATGGCAAATAAACTACTCAAGCACATCGTGAGAGTTGACTCAGGATATGTAACCATTCAGAAAACGGTTCCTTTTCTTCAACCTCGTCTGCAATTAGAGCTAGTCCCCATATCAGCTATTAAATGATGCAGAAGGCAGCATAGATCACAATTCGCACAACCTGATCTACAGTGGGTTTTTACCAGAAGCTAAAATAATTCCTGAAATCAGAGCTAATCCTGACTGCAGACAAGGCCTCAGACTGCCAACTAGCTCCAAAAGTTTTTAAGATGCGAATACTTTTATGCTGCCAATGAGTCTGAGATGACCAATTCTTTTCACGTGGGTCACTCCAAGGCCAGCAAACAGTAACAGTATTTCACCAGTGCTACCCTGGTTCATAGTCACACAGGTCACATAAAGGTGAAAAATTGCTGGACTTCTTTATAATAAGCTGAGTCATTGTGTCTTCTGCAGAGCACTTTTCAAAACAAAGCAAAATACTTCATGGAGTGAAAAACACTGAATTATTTGAAAAAAAAAAAAAAAAGTCATTTATTTTCTATATCTCTCCCCAGGGAGCCCATTGTTTAAATAAGAATTTGCTTGTGCCCCAAAGTACAGATGCTTTTGACTCTCATCATAAATCAAACATGCATATGCCTAACACATTAAAAATGAGTAGACAATAGCTGACATGGATTAAGATGGTTGGTCTGACCCGAATAATACTTCTTTAATAATCTTAACTTTTGTTGGTTCTTCTGGGAACAAAAGATTCAAATGTCGCTGTGCCTCCCTCTCCTACCTTGGAATTCAAATCAATCTTTTGCTCCTTTTGAAATGTAAATTTAAAATAATCATGTATCTGGATCATGGATTAAGTTTGCAGGAGAGAAGTCTCTGGCAGAAGATGGCAGAGACCGTGCCTAAAGCTAAATCCAGACACACAAATCAGTTCTGAGCTAGAATGAACATGGAGTTCTTGTTAAATGGGTTGCAGGTTTTCAGTTGCAAAAGTTCCATCAAGAAACCATTCTGACATTTGAAAACAGAAAAAGACAGCATCATGTCACTCAACAAAAACAAGTTTAACGTTTCAATTACTTTTTTCTCCTCTCAGACAATTCTCTCAGACCTATGTATGAAAGGGCATTTTTTTCTGCAGAATCGGAATTCCATCTCTTAACCTTTTCAATTCTAGCAAGATGGTGTGGTGGTTTTTTGTTTGTTTGGTTAGTTGGTTGGTTGGTTTTTTTACATAGGGAAAAGCCTTTGATAGTTTCAAATAGGGGTGTTGAACAACAGGACAAATTGTCTTGAAAGGCAGCAGGATAAAACATATTTTCAAGGTCACTTTTTTTTTATCTATGGCTTTTAACCTTGCTATGATTTAAGTTTGACCTCCTTTCCACGGTAGCTTTCTTCCTTCTCTCCCTCAGACTGGAAGGACACGTCTACACTTTCTATTTGATGTGGGTTTCATGTATCTGCACAAAGCAATTCATAGCCACTAGGCAAAAGGCATGTGCCCACACCACATCATTATCCTGCAATTAAGAAAATTCTCTCAAAGCTATAAAGCCCAGAGATGTTTCACGCTAAGCCCTCAATATTCATTCTGAACTCATCTAGACCATAAAGCTGCTGTAGTGCTGCAGACAAAGATATTTTGTAGTGTGTCTTGTGAAACACTTATTGGGTGTTTATTTGAAATTTTTTAGGTTTGCCTCATCTCAGCACGTTTCCACACCTTGAGATTTTCTCCCATTTTTCTGCACAAACTTTAAACAGATATAGAGAAGATAGCTCTCCTCTGCAGCTGAATGGAAAAGAAGCATGTATTCTTTTCAGTTCTGTGTCTTCTCTACCTAAGCTCTCAGATAAAACATATTCTTCAAATTATTCCCCCTTTGATTATTCTCTATGTGGTAAATGCTCTTGTTCATGTTTCAGGTTGCTTAGTAAGATTTGATCAAGCAGGGATTGAATTCTCCATGTAATTCACTTAGAAAAGACTTGATTGAGGTAAAAGATTGAAGTGAAAGGAAAATAAAAAGATTCTACCTTCCCCAGAAGGTAGATGCTTAATATCAGAAAATTTGAATGCTCTAGTTTTTTACTATGTGGACAAACACCTTTGCTGTACCACTGCGGTGAGGTCTACAACACTGTATTTGTATTTCTCTCACCTTCCTAACGATTGCTTGGTTTTACATAAGTACATCTGAGAAAAATAATAATAAAAAAGTTACTCCCTATAAATAAAAAGTGGTGATGACTTTCTGCATTCCCCAGCTTCTACCTCATGTGGCCCCAGGAGCAGGGAGAGAGCTCCTTTAGACAGCCTTCTCCCCGGGCTCTTCCCAGAATCTGCTGCAGCCCAGCAGAACAAATTCTGCCATCAGGTCGAGATAGCCGGGAAAGGTCGTGCAAATTAATAAAGAGAACCGTCGTACGTCTCTGAACAGAGAAACATTGTCCATAAAAGCTGCTCATGCAGGAGCGACCCATAAACTTATGCACAGGTAACGCTGCTGAGCCCTGCCCAGCCACTTTTCTGCCCCGGAGCTCTGTCTTTGGGCCCGGTCTCCCTTAGATAATTAAACATTCTATCGGCCCGGCACGATGAAAGGGGACCCAAAAAACTCGCCTCGCGCCGCGCCGTGCGCGGCCCCTTTAAGGCGCGGGGCAGCGCCTCCAGGAGGCGCGCGGGGAACGGGGAGAGCCGGGCGGGGGTCCCGTCCCGTCCCGTCCCGTCCCGTCCCGTCCCGTCCCGCGTGGGGCCGCCGCCGCTCCCGGCGCTGTCCCCGGGGCCGCTCCCGCGCCGCTCCCCCCGGGACGCGGGGCCGAGAGGCTGCCCCGCCCCGCCCCGCCGAGGAGGCGGTGGCAGCCGCCCCCGCCCTCGTGGCCGCGCCGCTCCCCCGCCCCGCCCCGCCCCGCTCCGCCCCGCCGGCCGGCCGGAGGCACGGACGGACGGACGGACGGACTGACTGACGAGGCTGCCGCAGGCTGCGGCTGCCCGGGAGCCGCCGGGTGCGAGGTGAGTGCCGGCGGCCGCGCTCGCCGCCCGTTCGCCGCGGGAGCGGAACCCGCGCGGGCGCTGCCCCCGGGGCACGGCCGCCGCCGCCACTGCCGCCGAGGAGGAGGAGGCGCCGCGGGCTCCCGCCCGCCCGGGCAGCGGGTTTGCGTCGCGAAGGTGCTGCACGAAAGTTCCCCGCTGTCCCTCGCCGGGGTCGCGCTGTCACTCCGGCTCGGGGCTCTCCGCGGCGCGCAGCCCGTGGTGGATGCGGGGCTCGCCCCGCCCGCGGTGCCCCGCGCTCCCCGCACGCTGCGGGAGCACCTGCTCTGGGGCCGGGGTGTGCGGGGACGGCTCGGCACCGGCCAGACCGGCGAGCGGGGGGCGCGGCGCAGGGTCCGCTCCCGGTGCCTCCCGTGGCGCAGGGACCGCTTCGCAGCGGGGCTGAGAAATGTTTGAAGGAGTTTTGTCTCTTCTTTCAGCTGGAAGAAAAGGCATGGGCAGAAGCGGCAGCGCGCACGTGTGATGTAAAGAAAGAGGGACTTTATGATGCTGGCTCGTTACAGCACGGCGGGATACCGGGAAAAGCTGGCAGAATCAACAGGGGTCTTGTTTAGTGATGCACGGAACCTCTTTGGCCTAGAGCCCCATAGCTGTGTTGGAGGTCGAACACTCACCTTGGCTTAAATGGGTCAGCAGTGGGGTTGCAGCTTGCCTGGACTTGTTTTCCAAACTCCAGAAAACAATAATATGTTTAAAAAGGGGGGAAACAATGAAGTATTGTGATGAATAGGAAAAAAATTACTAGGGTATTCTAATAGTTGCAAGTGCAGTGCTTGTAGGGTATTACGTAGACCATGGGTATCCAGTGCTGGAGAACTGTCTGTTTAATGACACCTTTGCATCCATTCTACTATTAAATTCTTGAAGTCTGCACGTGATTGTGGATTATGACTCTTTTAAGAAAGACTTAAGAGATCTTTCAAAGTCTGAGTGTACTCGAGTTTATTACTTGGCAGGGGGCAGCAGCATGAAGCCTGGGAATGAAAATAGGAAGTGAACATTATTCATTTAGTTCTGATATTGTTCTGGGTCATCAACAGTTGTTGGTGTCATCACAGAGTGATCCTAGCTCAGATAGTATCTCATGGGCTGAAAGGTGGTGCTCCTGTTGTGCTAGATACCTAGTTCTTCTGCATGTGTGAACAGTCCTTCTGATACAGAATATGTTCTGAACATATTTTTATTGGGTTTTATCCTTATTTTTATCATGGGCAAGGGTGTTTCTTTAGGAGTGAACCAAACTATCATACTGAAAAATGTTCTCGGCCTGTAATATCTTCATCTTTTGTGTTCAAAATGAAAACAAAAGCCACCGGAAAACTGAACCCTCTCTGGACTGATTCTCGTGGCTAATGAGGTTTATGACAACAGAACTGTGTTCAGAGTTACTACATTGTGGTGTCGTTACCTCTGACGTGAAAGTGCAGTTCGAGATGAGGATGTGCTGTCCTCTGGCCCTGTGGAATGCTCCGTGGCAGAAGTCTAGCTGGGTTTCAAAGAAATAGTCTTGGTTTCTTTATGCCTTCATGAGACAGAAGTGCCTGTTGTGGAGACAGGGAAGGAATAGTTGTAATGTGCTCAACTCTTGAAACAGCCTGACAGCTGTTTCTGCTACGAGATGTTCTTCCCTGGTGGGACGTTCAGAGGCTTGATATGTCATCCTGCTTTGCTGTGCCTCCTGCGGCCTCAATAAAAGGGTATTGGCCTGGTCCTTAAATGCATCTGACCGTAGGTAACGGCATGGTGAGATGGACTAGAGCAGTTTGTTCTCTTTCAGTTCTGCTTTTTTTACCTGTCTGAAGGCTTTGTTGGATGTCATGGTAATGAGATGCAGTTAAAATTTTTCTTTGCTATCCTGGTAGGAACTATGCTTCAGCTTCCACTTTAAAGTAGTTGACTGTTATTTGTAACACTTAAAGAAGTGTATCCTAGCATGGATGTGCGTGCCTGTGAGTTTATCTGTCCATGATATCATTACTAACTTCTCTGATACAGGCAGGACCAAAGTGTTTATCCTGAAACTTCTGCAGTCACCATAGGAAAGTAATGGGCTTTTTTGTAGTAAAGCTCTGAGTAAAATTCCTGTCTTCAGGTGAGTGTTGGCTCCTGCTAGGTGTGGCCTGACTGTATTCCCCTGGGGGAGTCATTTCACACTCTTTGTTTCCCTAGAAAATTTATAGTTCCCAACTGCACTGCTCAGTTCTGTGTGGATGCAAACCATGCTGACTCATATGCTGAACTGTTGCAGCCTTGCTCCATGTAAACACAAGCACACTTCTAAAATATTTAATTTGTAATGTCCTCTGTGGAGAGCTATCCCACAGCTCCTGGCATAATTCCCAGAAGCAGCAGATTCTGGGGTATTGGGAGTTTCAAAGGCCATTGGTGCCCAACGGGATAATCGTCTGAACTAGTTTAGTGGAGTTTATCCTGGCACTGGGACAGTTCAAACTGAACAGGTATTTAATCTTGCTTAAAGCAAGTCTGCTTTGAACAATACTTGGTATGTGTATGAACGATCTAGAGCCTGTTGGGACATGGCTGTCAGATCTACATGGCAGGGAAATCTTCGTTGTGGCAAGTACACTTTGGTGTAGACGTGCCTCCTAACAATTTCTAAAACAACCTTATCTGTGTGCAGTTTAGAGAAAGTCAGGAATGAGCTATTAAAAGATTTGTTTTCTTAGTTTCTTTGTGTAAAATAATAGTGGTGTTTTGTGAAAGACCTGAGTTTATATCCACAAGTAAAGCGCTTGTTAAAAAGAACTTCTCAGAAAGATGAAAACTCACCCTCCCATTCATGCACACACAGAAACCCTCATAGGTCTTTTAATTGAAAATAAACTACAATATATGATGTGGCCACAAAGAAGGGGAGTGAAACCAAAGAAGGATTTTTGTCTGTACCTGCTAAGTACAGCATTGGAATTTTAAGATAGATACCATCTCCTTTAAAGCAATAATTAGTTCAGTGGAGACTGACTGATAAGGAACTAGAGTTCTTTGGCTCTTTTGTGGGTTTTAAAATTTGGGTTTGGTTTTTGGTTATTATTGTGAGCATGGTAGAAAGAGTAATCCGTTATGGTAAGTATGGAGAGTAATTTGGGAAAGGTTCAGTGCAGGTTATGGATTGTCAAGATCAATCACATGTCACTTGTTTGGGTAGGTTGACTGTCAGTGCATTACCTGTAACTGTTAAAAATCATGTTTGTTGAACCATGCTAAGCCTTGCTGATGTCATAACTGATTCCAGCATTGTGCAATGTTTTAAGCCTCCATTTTTACTTTTTTTTAAATTAGTATTTTTGAGAACAAGACTTTAGAGACACTAAAGTAGTGGGATGTGCTCAGAACTGGATAAAACTGGGCAGCAGAACTGGTTTGAAATTCAGGAGAAAAAACTCCTGATGCAGATGGGGCTCTGGAGCTCAGCTGAGGTCCCTCAGGGATACAAGCCGTCACTCCCACTGCCTCAACAGGGCTGCTGCACTTTGCAGCAGCTCCTAGCGAGTGCAGTGTCAGCGCAGCTGCAAGAGCAAATCTGTGCTCTTACCTTTACAGATGGTAGGGTTTGAGGGTAGCATACCTATCACTGCTTTGCAGGAAGAGTGTTTACCATAGTACTATTTTGGTGAAAGAAGCATCTTTTCTGGAAGTGTGACTCAAGGCTCTACTTATTTTGTTTCTTTATTCGTGAGCCCCTGGTGGTCTAGTGGTAAAGGCGCTGCGCTATCACCGCGGAGACCCGGGTTCGATTCCCGGTCAGGGCCACTCCCGGGCAGGTGGGGCTCGTTAGCCCTTAAAGGCAACCCACCTACGTCCTAAGGACCTCGCTGCCACCGTCCAAGCTCGCTTGGCCCCGGCAGATGAACCTTAGGATTAAAGGGTGGGCTCAGTTCCGCGCACACTGTGTCTCACCTAAAAAATCCAATGCGCAGGCTGGAAGGTGGAAAGACCTTCCCCGGATCTTCGCTCGCGAAGACTGGCCATTATTCCATTCATATGGGGAATTTCTTAGATATATGTCTTAATTCACGAAAGAATTTCACTAAAAAGTCTTTATCAGAAACCTGAAATTGAAGTGTACAGATGTGGCATTTTGTTGCTTAGGTGTGCTGAGAGATGTTTGTTGTTGGCAGAGTCCCATTAATTACAAGACAGAGTCTTACAACCCATAGTTCAAAATCCTGCTTTCTGTGATGCCTATTAGTGGTATTTTTCTTTGTAAAAGCGACGGAGGTTAAAAATTGTGTCTGCATCTATTATTGCTATGACAGCTGTCTTTGTCCAGTTTTAACTATCATATTCTGAGTAGCTCTTAACTGGGATTGTAATGTTAATGGCTACATGCAGAGGAGGTAGAAGAGGAGATCTTTCCATGCTGTCTCCTTCTCTCAGTCAAGAACCGTGTCTTTTGAGTTACACTGGTTTTAATCAAGATGCAGTGAGTTGAAACATTTCATTACTAACTCTGTTTTGGTGCCTGGGATAATTAGGAGTGGTATGGTTAAAATATAAAATAGTAGCCAGTTCCTTAGCACTGTTTAATCATGGTTTGTCTTGAGCAAAACAGATGGTACCGCTGATACTGTGCTTCTGAGACTTGAAAACTGGGAAGATGACTTGAAATAAGGTGATGCAATTTTTGTACAAGGTCACTTACAAAATTAAGTTGTCTTCAGATGTTAGTTGTGAAACAAGAGAGTGCTCTTTGCAACATGCTATCAGTTATTGCATAAGCAGCAGCAAATAAGGACTATCCCTCTGTCTAGATGAGAGCACTGGAATGTGTTGTCTTCAGGTGCCAACTTACTTTTATATCAATGTGCAACACTAGCATAAAAAAAGCTATAAAATAGTCCATGTTTATTCAAAATCTCCTTTCCAGCATACTGAACATCTTTCTCCAAAGTGGATAGCTAACTTCTGTGTAGTCAGTGTCTATATGAAGAGTTTGTAAATGGCTATCTTCCTGACGCTGGCTGGAAAATACTGTCACGAGACAAGGGTTTTTATATGTTAGTTCGGCAACCTGTTAGTCTGAGTAATACGTTGTTGGAAACTGTTGGTGGTAAAGTAGCAGCAGTTTGGAAAGCTCTGTGACCCTAATCCAGACT